AGGAGTACAGTATTTTCCTCCCAAAATTTTGGACCAATTTGTGTTAGTCCTTCTTTATTCAGACGGCATGTTTTTGCTATCCCAAATTTCTCTAAGCTTGGAGCATACATTAAAGGATTCTAACTCTTTTTGCTGGTAGGAGCAGGGCCTGGAGCTGGAGCATGGACCAGTAGGTTTTATGCCCGGAGCCGGAGCGGAGCCGGAGCGGAGCAATTCAAAAATTTGATTGCTCCAAATCCCTGGGTAGGAGTGTCTGGCCTGATAAACTTTCAGAAAACTAAAGTAATTTTCTTTGTCTGCACACCAAGGCTGCATAAATGGATGATTGATGGCCGTTACATTGAACAGGTCAAGTTTTTTCCCCATTCAGGTATTTGTTTTACACATAATGGCCAATGGGATAAACATATCGAGGAGGTAAAAAGGAGAGCCTTAAGTTCCATGCAAGCCATGCTTTGTTTCACTTGAATCCACGGGAGCAGTTTAATTGCACTGGCTCTTAGAGTTTTTAGGGCTAAAGGCTGTAATCAAATACCATATGGTGCATAAATTTGGGCTGGGATGATCTTAAGATGCAAGGTTTGTGCAAAACATTTTTTTAAGGAGGATGCTCAGCTTCCCCTGCTGCTTTACTTGGGGCAAAGGTTGGGGAATGTGCTATTTTGACTAAAGCTCAGTGCCTTCACATTAATTATTGGCTGCATATTCAGCATGTGAATCTACAGCGCTTTCTGAAGTTTTGCAGGAGCAGTTTAATAAACCCTAAAGTTCCCCTGGCTTTTGCAAGTCTGTTATTCTCTCCATTCTTTGGGCTTCTTGGAACTGAAGCTGGCTAGGATTGTAGGCAAGAGTGTGACACCTCTAACTAAGTTTAGAGAGGAAGATATGATGTTCAGACAACTGGAAGTGGCAGTTGTCCCTGCAACAAGTATGTCCTCTTGGCTTTCTCATTTAAAGAATATCAATGGGTATGAGAAATAGCTGGATTTACAGCTCTCCATTTTCATACTCTGAAGACAGCATATTTGGGAGGGAGATGTGCTAGTATCGAGAGACAATCATCTTTCCCATGCAGGCAGGGCCGGCTCCAGGGTTTTGGCCGCCCCAAGCAACCAAAAAAAAAAAGCCGCGATCGCGATCTGCAGCGGCAATTCGGCGGAAGGTCCTTCGCTCGGAGCGGGAGTGAGGGACCGTCCGCCAAATTGCCACCGAATAGCTGGACCTGCTGCCCCTCTCCAGAGTGGCCGCCCCAAGCACCTGCTTGCCAAGCTGGTGCCTGGAGCCGGCCCTGCATGCAGGTCTGGCCATGTTGAAGATCTACCAATATAATGGTTTACCACATTCCTGGCTCAGATACTGTTTCCAGCACTGTGTCAAAAATTAGAATACTTGCTATGTAGCAAAATGTTTTGATCATATGGGCAGTCACCCTAAATGCCTGGTCAGTTGCAAAAACAAGACTCAAGTATGGAAGAGAGGGTCTTTGTGATCTAACTAAAATAATGTGTTTCTAACCCTGATTGTTTTACGGTTGTATATCATTTCAGGGTCTGTGACTTTAAAGGAGTAACTGATCCTGGGGGAAAGGTTGTGTTTTTAATTTTTGTATTTTAAAAGTTTATATTCTTCTTACTGAGCGGTGTTGATTTAAACTTGTATTTTATCTTATATTTATTGTATTGTGAACTATGGCCTAAAGGTATGTGTCATGCACCGGGCTGCGGGGGTCAGACCTAGTGGTTGGAACGGGAGTTGGGCGATAATCAGAGCCAAGGGGTCAGAGCTGGAGTCAGGAACCAAAGCCAGTAGCTAGACCTGGGCTCAGGAAGCCCACAGGGAAGCAGGGCTGGAGCAGACTGAGCAGAGGCAAGAACAAGGCTAAGAGCAGGGCAGGCACAGGAGAGATCGCAGCTGCAGGCATATGCCTTGAGCAGTCAGAGATCAGTTGTGTTAGGAGCAGGCCTGCTGACTTCCTTGGCCATGATGTGTAGTGGTCAATCAGGTGGCCTTGCTGTGGCCCAGCTCAGCTGTGCTCATAAGCTGCTTGGAGACTGGGGGCAGTGCAGCTGCAAGTCCTCATTCCTGATACTAATTCTGTGGCCCAGATCCACAGAGCTATTTAGGAGTCTAATGTCCATTGAAATCTGGTGGGTTGTAGCAGATGCCCATGCTCATTTCCACTTTGTTTCTCTCTCTTACTCATCTGAAGCACCCACCACACCACTCACTCTTCCTTGTTATTCAGTAGCACTAATCCTCCAGTTCTTCTTTCCTTTCTGTCTCTCTGACCAGCCTATATCATAGCTAGAGAGCTAGGGACACCCACTGTATAGTAAAAGTTGCCATATTGCTTACATTCTAACCCACCTTTCTCGGGAGGTCATACAGTTCTAAAAGTACAGGAATTTCCATATTAATTCAGACCAGTGGTTAGTCCATCTAACCCAGAATCCTGTGTAACCCACAATCCTGTCATTGGCTAGTAAAAGATGCTTCAGAAGAAGTTGCAAGAAATTCTGCAGTAGGTAATAATGGGATAACTTGTCCCCAGGGAAGATTTCTTCTTAACTTCCAGTGGAAGTAGGGTGACCAGATGAGAGGAAGAAAATATCGGGACACTGGGGGGGGAGGAAAAAAAAAAGCCGAGGGCTGCTGGCAGGGCAAAAAAAAAAAAAAAAAAAAAAAAAAAAAAAAAAAGAAGAAAAAAAGAAAAAAAAAAAAAAAAAAAAAAAAAAAAGCTAGTGGAGTGAAATATCGGGACAACTTGCGTCCCGACCAGAGATCGGTCGGGACGCGGGACAAATAGCTAAAAATCGGGACGGTCCCAATTTTATCGGGACGTCTGGTCACCCTAAGTGGAAGTTGACTTATGCCCCCAAGCATAGAATCCTAGAAGTGTAGGACTGGAAGGGAAAGTCATCTAGTCCAGTCCTCTGTGCTCAAGCAGGACTAAGTAATAACTAGACCCTTCCTGACAGGTGTTTGTCTAACCATGAGGGTTTATATCCCTTCCTTTTAATCTTTACTATTCCATCTCTAAATATTCTTGTTATCCATATAAAGCACCAATCCCTTTTTAAATCCTGCTAAGTTCTTGGCCTCAATATATCCTGTGGCAATGAGTCCCAACAGGCTAATGATGTATTGTGTGGAAAAAGCTTTTCAGTTTTGAATTAGCCACCTTTCCATTTCTTTGAATGTCCCCTTGTTCTTGTGTTATCAGACAGGGAGAATAGACATTCCAAATAGAGCTTCTCTGCACCGTGCAGTATTTAGTACACTTTTATCATCTCCTCTCTCATTTGTCTCCTCTCTAAGGTAAACAATATGTTCAGTTTCTCATCATATGTAAATTTTTCCCATGCCTGTTATCATTCTTGTCTCCTGTCTGTGAACTGCCTCTGATTCTCCTTATCTTTTTGGAGATGGAGTGATCAGAACTGAACCCAACACAGAATTGCAGGTGAGGTTGTACCACCATAATGACATATTTTCAGTATTACATTCCCAATCCAATTCTGTCTTCATTGAGCTGTCCACCATAATGCTCAGATCTTTTATCCAGATGTAACAGTAAAGTTAGAACCCAGTAAGGTAATTAAGTAATTTGAATTATTCCATTCAATATGGATTACTTTGCATTTGCCTCTGTTGAATTTCATCTACCATTTTGTAGCCCATTCATGTAATTGGGCTACAAAATGGCTCTGAAGTTCCTCATTGTCTTTTCTGGTGGTGACTTGCCTAAATAATTTTGTGTCATCTGCAAATTTAGCAACTTCACTGCTCAGTCCCTCCTGCAGATTGTTTTATTAAACAGCACAGGTAGTGTGGAACCTTGAGGCACTCCATTACTAACCTTTTTGCCATGATGAAAATTGACCATTTATTCTTACTTTTTGTTTTCTGTCTCTCAGCCCATTTTTGAATATGGATATGTCTACATTGCAATCAGAAGTGTGACTGCAGTAGACATACCTGAGCTAGCTTGAGCAAACCTAGCTCAGGTATGTCTAAATGTGCTGCGGTCACACTTCTGATTGCAATGTAGAAATACCCTTTGTCAAAGGCCTGCTCTAAGTCTAAATAAAATATTTCCTTTATCCATTACCTTATTGACACAATCAAATAATTCTAATGCATTCACAAGGCACAACTTTTCCCTGCACAAGCCATGCTGGTTAGCCAATCCTATTGTAATCTTTTATATGTTGTATAATTCTGTTTCTAATTAGCATTTCAACCAATTTACCAAGAACAGAATTCAGGTTTACTGGTCTGTAATTCCCTGCACCAACCCTACCCTTTTTAAAAATATAGGTACAACATTTGATACTCTTCCAGTATACTAGGTGATTTTAATGAGATGGCATATTTTTTGCAAGCAGCTCACTTGCTTCATTCTGAAGCTCCTTCAGAACTCTTGGTTGTACCATATGGTCTGGATGACTTATTGCTTTGTAATTCCTCCATTTTTGTCATCATCTCTTTGTTTGGCATCTCAATCTTTTATCTTCTTTAATTGCTCACTTTAGCCCCTGTTAAAGCATGGCATGCTTACCTTTCTGCCTGAAATTTTCCAGAGCTGGGCTCTGCATGGAGGTAGGACCAAAACAGCCAAGGTAGGTAAGCTGACATTTGGCCAGGAGGTAGTACTTAGAGGGGAGAGGATTCTGGCGCAACTCAGTGTTGCATTGTTTGCGTTATGAAGGTTTAAAAATAGTGGTTTGTGTATCTGGTGACTCACGTCCCTCCTGCAAGAAACAATGTAATCTCTCTCATCAGCTGTGGCAACCAGATGTTATTCCATGGAAGGCAAGGTCCCACCTCCTTTGACAGGTTACCCCATCCCCTGGACTAGAGTTAGATTTTGCTCCCTGATATTGAATCTGAATCTCCTGGCTGCAGTCTGATATCATTACTACTTGTTCTGCCCTTGGTTACTGCTGACAGTAACAGCTCCTCTCTCCTCTTCTCAACAGGTTCCGCTTGCTATTTCCATGGGGGATGAAAACCGAACTGGAATGACTGAATTCTACTTCCGTCCCTTCTCGAGTCTCCCCAATGTGCAGCTGCTGATTTTCCTGATCCTCCTGCTCATGTACATGGTCAGTGTCTGTGGGAATGGCACCATTGTGCTCATTGTCTGTACCGATCGCTCCCTCCATACCCCCATGTACTTCTTCCTGGCCAACCTGGCAGCTATGGAGATCTGCTACTCCACCATCATCGCCCCACTGACCCTGGCCAATCTTACATCTTTGAGGAAGGCCACCATCTCCCTGGCTGGCTGTGGCACCCAGATGTTCTTCTTTATCTTCCTGGGAGGTGCTGGATGTATCCTGTTGGCTTTCATGGCATATGACCGATATGTGGCTATCTGCCACCCACTGCGCTACACCCTCATTATGAGCTGGACTGTCTGTGTGAGCATTGTAGCTGCATCCCTGGCACTGGGCTTCTTGGTATCCCTTAATATGACCATCCTGATCTTCCACCTGCCATTCTGTGGCACCAATGAAATCTACCATTTCTTCTGTGACATTCCTGCTATTCTGCGTCTGGCATGCAGCAACACCCATGTCCACCAGGTCGCCCTCTATATTTGTAGTGTCATAAACGTGGCCATCCCTTTCCTGTTGATTTGCTTCTCCTATGCCTTCATTGTGGTCGCCATCCTGCGGATCAGCTCTGGAGCTGGCCGGCACCGCACCTTCTCCACCTATTCCTCCCACTTGATGGTTGTTGCCCTGATGTACGGCTGCAGCAGCTTCATATACTTACACCCTAGTTCCAGCTACTCCCCAGAGCAAGGCCGGGTAGTGTCTGTGGTGTACACCTTCGTCACTCCTGTCAATACAGGAACTCCTTGATCTACAGCATGAGGAACAAGGAGCTAAAGGATGCCCTGAGCAGAGCACTGGGAAGGAAAGTGCTGCATCAAAGTAAGTGACAGATTTAGGACATCCTTCAGTAAACATGACCCCGTCCAGAGACACAATGTGGGTGGCTCTGGGTGATTGGGAATGGGATAAGGAGCATTTTGCCTTATAGTACCTTCATGTCAGGGGCCTCACCATGTCTCTGGGTATTGGGGAATGGGATTGTGAAGTTGTATACCCAGGTGTTATTCTGGTCACCCATGCTGGTTACAAGACAATTTCAACAGCAGTTTCTCCAAGTCCTCCTGGTGAGTACGAAAAGACATTAGACTAGTCCAGGAGAAGCAGAGTACCAGATTCCTCTGCTCAGTGGACTGAAGGTCTGAGAATCTGCTTGAAACACTGTAGTTGTCACTCCTAAGGAGTCTGGTCTAGCTGTATGATTGACTGGGTGGGCTTTGGAGGAGTTGCTTCTTTATCTCTCAACCAAAAGCAGTATAAGATAACACCAGGGTTATGTGACGTCAACTAAAATTTCTCCTTCCTATAATTTTTTTTTCAATTTATGGTTTTTAGAAACAATTGCCTAAGTTTATTCTAACTGAAAGACATTAGACAAGGAAATATTTATCTCCTTCTCTTCAGTTTACTTTAGCAACACTTTTTTGTGTATAGCAAATTCTGCTCTTCCTCCTGTGTAATCAGCCAGTCTTTATTCACCGAGTATGTCTATATTACAATCAAGAGGTGTGATTGCAACACGTGTAGATATACCCAAGCTAGCTATGATCGAGAGCACTCACTAAAAATAGCAGTGAAGCCACAGCAGCACGGGCAGTGGCACTGGTACCCGGGACACTGGGTACATAGTCAGGCGACTAGCCCTTGCCACGGCTTCACTGCTATTTTCTGCGAGCTAGCTCGATCATAGCTAGCTTGGGTATGCCTGCAAGTGCTGCAATCACACCTCATGATTGCAGCGTAGACATACCCACTGTTGTGTGGGTCTTTCACACAGCAACAGGGGAAAGAAAATAGGCAATCAAAAGAAATATCTGATGGTAAAACCCTGCAAATTGGTAGCAGGACTCAGCAGTAGCAACTATTTCCTGTAATTAATGTCTATTATGATAATTTATTACACTAGCACCCAGGAGCCCCGATCACATTAGGGCCTTATTGTGCTAGGTGCTGTAAACACACACACACACACTAAGATAATATGAGCCAAATGGATGAAAACAAACAAATCTAAACAGTAGGGGAGGGAGGATGAGCGTAACAACAATAGAAACCTGTCTATATGCATAATTTGCAGAATAAGAGGGGGTTTTAATTTTATTGTTAATTATATGTATATATAAATAAAACGAGAGATTAATGATATCAACAATACCTTTCACTCCTTTTAAATAAAACCTGACTTAATTTCATGGTGTGTCTTTAAGAAAAATAGCCTTACAGCAGACTAAATGTATGATGTTATTCCTGTATTTTTTTTCTTCACTGTTGACTCTTGCAAAATTTTATTCCTCTTTCTGAAGTTGTTTCAAGTTGGATCTGTGTATGTTTAATGTGCTTGTAAATGACCCTTTAATACAATTTACACATTACAGAATAAAATATATCTTTGTACCTGTTTTTTCTGTCACGTGATGACTGTTTTATTTTAACACATGTGCTAACATAGGCTCAGACCCAGCCACACCCTTATGCATGTGTTTACATTTAAACATGGGATTAGTCCAGTAATTTCAGTGGGAATACTCATGTGCTTAAAATTAAGACAATACTTTAGTGCTTTTGTGGATCATGATATGGTAAAGAAGGGGAGATAAAATCTAATGTGACCAGGGGTCAGATAGGTAAAAATTAAGAGGTTGTAATATTTCACATTGTCATTTGATAAAGCACTAATGCTTTTATTGAAAATATTACTCCTGGGGGAATTCTGCGCCACTGCGCATGTGCAGAATTTATGTCCAGTGCAGATTTCTCTGCTTCCCTGCAGAAAAATGACTTTCTGATGGGGAAGCAAAGGGAAGCCACAAGAGAGAACATGGCTTGTTGAGCCTTCCTGCTCACACCTGGTGTACTGGGCACAGAGGGGCAGGGCCCCATCCTTGCGCGGTGTCAGGGTTGGGTGCAGCTTTATTGCTGAGTCTGTGTCCTGGGGTGGAGCTGCACAGTGATCTCCCACCTCTGTGCAGCCAGTAGCCTGTGTTCTCCAATGCCATGCTGGAGCACCCACATATATTTAATAAATAAAATGTGCAGAATTTTAAAATATTGTGCACATAATTTTTAATTTTTTGGCACAGAAGTTTTAATTTTTTGGTGCAGAATGCCCTCAGGAATAATTAAATATAGAACTATATTGCAAAAGCTGTCTGGGGAGAAACTGGAGATTTGGGCTGCTGGTTAGTTGGGGCTTTTGGCATTTGTGGAGGTATGGAAGGTAGTTTCGTATAGTGGGATAAACACATTAACTTTATATTTGTGCTAAAATGACCGGAACTGAAACAATTAGCAATTTACACTGTCATGTCCAAGAGTTAACACCATATTGAGGTGTATGAGACCTGTGAGTTTCTGTTTCAAGCTGTCTGCCCTCCCTGTGGAGGGGAGGCCTAGTAGGCACAGCTGGGTGGCAGGCTCAGTCTCTCCTGCATGGAGCGGGGGCTCTGGATCAGGCTCAAGTCCTCTGGGCAAGAGAAACAAAAGTCTCCCCTTGCTGCTGGGAACAATTGAAGGGCAGATTCCCCTCCAGATGATCTAACCCGACTCCCTGCAGCAAGCGCTCTCCCACAACCACCGTCCCTACTCCAGTGCAGCTCACACCTGGGAGCATTCCCAGAGAGCTGCAAGCTCTTCAGGGTGTGCAGTTGATTGCTGGGGCCTGTCAATCTGGCTCTGGTCCCTTAGCTCCTCCTTCCAAATGTGGCCACTGTATGGGCTCAGCTCCCAGGTGAGATGGGAGCCATCCCAGCCATGCACAGACTCCCTGGAGCCTGCAGTTTGGATTGCCTGGTTCCTGGTCTGGTCCTTGCAGGTTGGGTGTGTCCCTCCAAGCGCAGTCGCAGTTCCAGTCCCTACCTCGGTGCTGGCTTCTGTGTGAGCTGCTCCTTTCAAGCCCTGGCTGCGTGTTTGTGTATCTCCTAGGGAGGGGGAGCAGTGCCATCAGCCCACGGGAATTCTTCACGAGCCACAGGACTTAGGCCCCAGCTGGAGCATGTCTGGCAGTGAGGCAAGAAGCGCCAATCGTCACAGGAATTCCAGCCCTGCCTGGGAGGAACCAGTCTCTGATTGGCTGCCTTCCCTATTGCCTCATCTCCTGGGATAGAGCAGCCAATCAGGGCTGCTGCAGAAGGCAGGCAGGGGTGCTCCAATCCCCTCTGGAGAGAAGTTTTTGGGGAGTGTGAAGGGAGCAGCTGATCCTATTCTCACAGGAGGGGAAGGGGAGGAAGTGCCCAGCAGTTTGTGGTAGGTCCCCAATCCTTCCCTCTCCTCCAGTGAAGAATGGGTCAGTCTTTCCCTTCTCCGACCCCACACCAGCACCCCTGCAACACCAGGTCTGGGGGAGGGGGAGAGGAGAATCCCCCATTGAAGCTGCCTTCCCCCAGGCCTTAGGTGGGGGTGAAGATACCCTGGAAAAGGGTAAAGAGCCTCCATAGCTGCAGGAGGAGCAGAGGTGCACTAAGGGGCAGATGTGGGGCTGGGGCACACATATAGAGTGCAGAATTATTGCATGGCTGGGTAGGCAGAGTTGATGGGGTTGGTGCACATGTGAGGGCTTGCAGGGGGGTAAACTACAAATGAATTGCTTAGGGCTGGACGTGCAGAATTGACGGGAGAACTGGGGCACAACATTAATTGACGTAGTGGCACAATGGTCAACAATAATATTTTTCGCTGTAAAATGGCAACACTAGTGTCACATGCCCTGGGCAGGGGGATTCGACAATCAGCAGACCAAGCGTTATTTACTTTTCTTTTTTAGAAAACCTCTTATGAATTTTGAGCCAATTTCATGATTATTTTGGCAGGGGGGAGAGGCTGACTTGTGATTTTTGAACTGCTAGGGTTGGCAATCCTGGAGGAGAGTGGTGGGGAACGGAGATGCGAAAGATGTTGTTCCAGGGGAAGATTCCGAGAGACAATCAAAACTGTACTTGGTTAAGTTCTCTCCTCTAGGGACAATGTCCTCAAAGACTTGGAAGGTGAAATTGGCCTCAGGAAGGCAGGGGAGGGTTCTGGGAACTGTATCTGGGCTGCCCAAAGCTGGAGCTTCCACGTGAAGATGGAAGCTCTCAGCTCCCCTCAGCAGTGAGAGACTGCTCGGGCATCCTCACATTGAAGGGCCGTGTGACTTCTACCCAAATAGGAATATCAGTAAAAACAGAGCCAGGCCTTTTATTCCAGCAGCCCCTTCCTGCTGCCTGCCTGGGAGAAGCAGTGGGACGCTGCTTCATCAGCTCAGCTCCCTAAGGTCCCAGACAGCATGTAAAAGCTGCAGGGCTAGAGGGAGATGTTCAGTACTGGGATGCGGGAAGGGAGTGACCGTTGCTGGGTTTGCTTCTGAGAGGAGGTAAGACATGCTCCCCACTCCAAGGCCGTCCATCCCCAGGTTTAGGGAAGCAAAATGGACTAGTGTGGAAAGCTCAGTTTCCTCTTATCTCAAATGGGGAGAATAATATTTACCCTCTCCACGTTCATAAGGGGCCCTGAGATCATGTGGGATAGAATGTGCTGTACAATTGCCCAGTGCTGTTGTTATCTGCAATGATCTTTCATTTCTCATATTCTTTGTCAGCTTTTGGTGGTGAGGAACAGGACAGGAACACTGCTCCTGAGTTACCATTCTGGGTATGGGACGAACAGATAGCCAGCTGGAGAAGTAGTTAGCATAATAATGTTCCTAATGAAAAGCAGAAATAGGGGAGCTGTTGGGTGGGTTTGATTTTCTCTGAGGGGGGACCCAAATGTGGCTC